CCATCAACAAAGTTTAAGAACAAGAGAATGGATATACTATACAAGAGAATCTATATACTAGATGAAAAAGCATTTAAGAACTATTGTTTCAATAAGACCTAGCCACTTAAAAAAGAAAGCAAGGGGAAGGAAAAGGAAAAAGTTTAAACACAGAAAAAACTAGAAGGACGAACCATCTCAATATAGGCTCAGTAAAGTCAGAGGTTCCAGCAGCCTACACTGCTCTCCATTTACCCTGCTGAGTTAAGTTTCAATGACTGATAAAGCATTTCAGCTGTTTCAAATAAATATGTACTGGAAGAAACATCAGGAGCTAATAGTAAATGTCACATTCTATCCCAAATTAGTGCTAAATCTAAAACATGCATAGGTTACTCTGAAATATATCACTCACTCGAACGGGAATCACAGTTCTTGCTTTCTCCCGTACCCTCAACATGCTAAAAGTTGCTGATTTTGAATTTTATTGCTCTTGTTACTGGCACAGAAATTACATTTTGATTTTTGATTGCCAGCCTTTGTCTTTCTTGCCATTACACAAAATACAGGACTGAGGGTGATTATCAACTTTCATAAAGCAATGCTAATGCAGTAACACTTACTGACCAAGTTTTACCAGAGCAGCTGTGTGGTATTTGGCTGCCTGCCAGGTTAAACCACGACACAGAAAAAAAAAAGTTTTAACGAAAAAGGTTTTCTCTGTCCTTTCAAGTAACAGGAATCAGGTTTACTGTTTGCACTTGATGGCATTGCGACTCCTTCTGTTCTCTTTGATTTGTATCGTCTTTCAAAGCAGAAAAGAAACAGGAAATTTGTAAATCACAGGAAAATAAGAGTAAACACCCTGTCAAAAATTGACAGCAATAAGGAACTGTTGCTGGAACCACGGATTCTTTTGTTAATAAACAACAGTTACTTACCTCATGATATCCGATTCTTCGAAATATTTATCAGTTAGTGTCTCAATATTCATGGGTCCTCAGGCACCTGAATTTGGATTCTTTGGCCAAGAGTGTGTATTCAGACTGCCCTTATGCCCTTGGTGTCACTGTGTCCCCTTTCCAGAGACAGAAAGAGAAGAACATAACTGTCTCTCAGTAGTAAGGAAGGCTGATTATGGAATACATATGGAGATTAAAAAAAAAAAAAAAAGAATAAAAAAATCCCTTACTGTAAGTAACCATTCCTTCTTTGAGATTCCTCACTCTCAGGGGTCATCTATATAGTAGTTAAGATGAACCAAACTAAATTGAACAAAAGTCACTTAAATTTTGAATGGGAGTGTCCATGCAAGATTTATTACACACAAACTGATATATTTTAAAGTTATCCCTTTACTTAATTTGATGTAATTTTCTTTAGTGCTATATATTAAGATGGGAAAAGTAACGAGGCAGAACTTGCCATGCAGGATAACTGCAGTACTTAGAAGTCCACTGACTAATAATTCGAAGACAGCTTAAGAAATGCAAGATTGTATCTTGGTATCTTCATGTTGAGTAATATGACTTGAATGTATATACCAACCAGACTACTGTTGTTTTATACAGAATATTGTCACCCAAAGTTGCAGCAGCCGGTCATGTTAAGAGTGTACTCCATTCTTTATCCTAGTTGCTTTAAACAAGCTAATTCACACAATAATCTATGAGAAGGAAAATAACATCTCTCTACATGAAAAGCTGGTGCTGCAGTTGGCAAAAGACAAATCCTAACAAAGTTCATAACTCACAACCAAAGATACTAAGAATTACCTGGCATGACTAAAGTTTTCATTATACTTCAAAAGGGAACAACAAGTAGAGTTTGAACATAATCTGGCCAAAGAGAATAAAACTCAGCACATGGTATATATACACAATACAAAGGTGAAGAAATTTATTTACCCTCTCTAAAATAAGGGTAAAATCTAGTAACATTAACTTGGCAATTCTGAATTTAAAAAAACTGCTATTATTGAGGATGAAGAAATCTAATTATGAAATGTAACTTGCTATTTGTCTCGAAGAAATTCAAACACATTACACAGGTTTTAGTGCAGTTTGTCATTATGCTTCGTTCAGAAGCCTTGTTACAAATGAGGTAACTGTTCTTACTCTAGTCTAGCAAAAATCTCGGCACAACGTTTCGCTCCAGATACAGAAAAAGGCTTCACATTAGGGTGTCAAATATTTCCAGGTATCCATGGCTCCTCCTACTTTTCTCCTATCTTTCAGCCATCAGTTGTTTTTGCACCTTGTTAAGAACCACTAGGACTGAACTTGCTGGAAAGTAATCTTACTGCCTTTTCTATAGCTTTTTTTTTTTTTTTTTAAAAAAAATATAATGGGTGACAGAGGCCAAAGAAATTTTGGAAGATCAGTATCTAGTTAAATGCTTTTAAATGCAAAGTGACCAACAGCCTTTTTAACAAACTTCACATCTTTAACTGAGTAGTAGTTGAAAGCCACCAAGAAACAGCTCAGAGGTAGGCAGTTGCTGCTTCTGAGAATCACAGAAATTGGGCTTCATGAGATTTAATTTATATCTTAAAATTTTGGTTTGGAGCATACAGAAGTTCCCATATAGTATTTGGAAATAAAACAGTGAAAATGTTTCTTGTTTCAATATTTAATCCAAGCAGACACAGACACAATTTATAAAATTATTCTATTGCATTAAAGTTTTATATAGCATTTAACTTTTATGAATGTTTTTCCTTCAGTGTATCATATATTCATATTTTAAAATATCTTTGCACAGACCTTTGTGCAACTACATGCTAAAAATCTGCAAATGCACACTTAACACTAAACAGCACAAAAAATACATTCTGTATCCATTCATATGCAAATTTAAAACATTTCACTTGGCAGATAAACAATGAAAAGTTTTTTTAAAAAAATCAGAAACTACAAAAATGCGCACATAAAAGTCTTCCCTTTTGGATTTTTAGTAAAATACTGCTCTGTATAAGATCTAATGAAAAACTCCAGTGCTTACAAAATACTTTATATCTATGAGAAAAACAAATGCTTAAATTTATATCTGTATGAATTAAAACATAATCACCTTGTTAAAATATAAAACTCAAATCATAGGGGACATGGCATAGGTCAATGCAGATGTTACAGCTACCAGGACATGTAAAACTGTAATTAACTGGGCACCAGGCAGTCAGTATCACAGAATATATAAACTAAAAACCAGGGACTAATACAATATGCAGCAGCTACAGAATTAAGTGTTTAACCAGCTATATATACTAAATATAGCAATTCTACCTGAAGAGGGAAAGGAAGTCTTAGTCTAAAGTAAGTAATTAATAACAAAAATTGCTGCGTTTACCAGTGTTAAGAGTATAGTGTCCTTCATAACTTTGTTTCTAAAAAATCTGCATAAATTGGCTATCCAGATATGTCAAAATTCTGTGATGCAAGAATCTAACGTAGTCTCATCTCCATCACAGGAATTTCTAAGCAGATCTTTTCTCTGATGACCAGATAATTCATATAGGATATGGGGGGCTAACATATGTGTCTCATAACTAAATTTCACACAAACACTTCTAAAATATTGGCGTGTCAGCATCGTGTCAGTCTTGTGTTACTAATGACAATAAATCACCAAAATGTACAACTTCCCGTTCATGGACTATGGCTTCAAAGCCTCTTGAGACTAGACGGGTATAAAGAGAACAACAAAATCAATGCATTTTAAGACTGTATGTAGACTATTCTACAGGTTTGTGATACTAAGCAAAATGAAATAAAATTTCTTAACCTTGTTTTTACCTCTGTGATCCTTTTCATAGGGCTTGCTGCTATTCTACAAACACTGTGTGTGTTTTGGAGAAATCAATATAAAAAAATCCTATAACATGGTAACAATGTGAAACTTGGTACTACACCAAGAAATGGAGGCAAAGAACAAGGTAGGGGAACTCAAAGAAAGTCTACAGACTTGCAGATCCAACATGAAACCTGTCTGGAGGACACAAAATAAATCACTAAAGTATGTTTTATTTCTAAGCTTCCTGGGCCTTATAGGAAAAAATATTTTCTCTGGAACAGATTAGAATAAAGAAGAAAAATGAAATTTAATCAACATCAGTAAAAAGCACCAACTGTGGCTTCAAATTTTCTCTTAGACTGAAGATTTCTTATTAATATTGATAAGAACGGTACATGTGGGTTAAAAATAGTACACGGACCTTTGAGCCTTCTGTTTTTCCTGTATGAACTACGAATGATGGAGTTACTTTTATAACATAGCTCCTCCAAAAATACAAGTCAACTTTTTGTCTGAATATTCTTATGGAACCAATAGTAACAATTTCTGATAATTTAATTTTGCTTCACAGAACTTCTGTCACAAAACTAAAAAATAAATATTAAAAGTCATTAGCAACAAAAAATAACCTACCATAGAGAAGGTTTCAGGGCACAGACTATTAGAGGGAGAAATGGACTAAACGTAAACTAAATGGACTAAACGTAAATGTAACTTTGGGACTAAACGTAAATGTAAACGTAACTTTGACAGCCATACTACACAAATGGACATCTTTAAACTCTGGCCATTTTTGTAATTTTGAAAAAAAAAAAAATCAGGATATCACTACCATTTTAGAAAGCTATGCAGATCTGTAGTAGATACCTATGTTATTTTATCATCAGAAAACAATGAACTTGATAATGCTGCTAGATTAAAAAAATTAAACATACTTTACCAAAGAGGTCTCTACTTTGCAAATATATTTTTTTATTCAATACATCCTATAAATTAATCTCCTGGAACAGATTCTGCATCAGCAACCACTTTTTGCCACTCTAATACTAGAGATACAATAATACCTACATTTTGTAAGTTGTAAAGTTGTTGCCCTCTGGTATAAAACCTAGCAGTTCATAGTTAAAGCAAATTTGGCAGATCTACTGTAGTTGGGTTTTAGTCACACTGATTCAACTCAGAAGGACCTGGAGAGCCAATATAAAAGCTGCATTTAAATAATTTTTCCTTTCTGTCTTATTACACTATTTAAAAATAAGCTAGAATACAAAATGTCATACTAAGCAATGTTTGATGCCCAACTTACTACCGCTCCATATCCCTCCCAAAAAGCATGGCAATTCTGAATTAAGGTTGCCACTGTTATTGCTGCTTACCCAGTACAGTCTGTAAGCCACTGTTTAGAAACCTAGGCACAATAGATAGCATGGTAACCTTAACTCAGCATTTTTTCCTGGCTTTTGCTAATTTAAGTCAAAATAATTGCATTTTAACATAATTTTTATAGTTCTCGTAACAACCTGAAAATCATAGCAAATAAAATTTATTTCTTTCTATATTATACTTAAAGTGGCTGGTCTTTTTAATAGAGCTTTCTGATTTTTTTAAATGATAGAACATAACAGTGGGGCAAGAGTTAAAGATAAAATACACCTAGCTACCATATTTATTCTGAAGATTTTGGTGCGCCAAAATTGACAGCCAGCTTTCTTGGCTTTCGCTTGCTGGAAGTGTTTGGTGTTGATTTGTTATGAGGAACTCTTGGAGTAGCCACATTGTCTTGAAATGAAACAGTGGATTGAGCAGCTTGAGGAGTTTTTAAAGGAGCTGAAGAACTATCTTGCTGAATGTGGTCAGAAGACACTGGCTGTTCATTCTTTAGTGGTGCAGCTTGAGGGGAACTCTGAAACTCCTTGACCTCAAAGTTTTTCTTGCTAGCAGCCCTTTTTTTAGTTACCTTTAAATTAAATAAATATTATTTAACAGAATGCATTCTCAAAAAACTGCAAATATTGCACTTTTAGAAAACATGCATACAATTTTTTACAATAATTTTCTAATACCAAATAGTGCTTCACAGTGGGGGTGTTGTTGCATTCATCATGTAGGCACATTTTTTACAAAAATAGAATATTAAGACAAACCTGCCAATCTTACCTGCAGAGGTATAAACTGGTTGTGAGAACCAACTGGTATAGTTCCTGCAAGAGACAAATTTCCTGGATAGGAGCCAGGATAATAATGTTTAGGCACTGGAGTTCCCCAGGACACTGGACCAAACATGTGAGATGTTGGAGGCATTATATTAGCTGTGAAAATAAGGAACTTTTAGCTCTCTTTCTCAAAAAGAGGATACCAACTCCCTAAGACCCCAAAAGTACCCCAACTACTTTTGCCTGCATGTTGTTTCTCTTTCCAATAAAGCCTCGTATTCTTCATATTTAATTAAAAATAGATAAGTATTTATTTATTACCAAAAAAATCCCAAACAAACAGTTCTGCTTTTACAGAACTACACCTAGATGACAGCACAGTTAAGAGCACTAAGTCACGGCATCTGCATTTCGGAGCGCATATAACTTAGGCTCTTCGTATCCTTAGCTGAATGAACTGTATTAGTAGAAGGTTGCAAATTTAGGCTATCCTTTTGAAACAAGTCAACAAGATAGAAACCCTGGGGAAAAGAGATATAGCAGCTGCTGTATGGGTTACTAGGATGCTGCAATGGTGCTGACTCATTAATTACTAGCTGTGAATGTGAGCTTTAGTAGAATACAAAATAGACGGGAACCAGAAATGCCACCAGAATTTTTAGCAATTTTTGGGGGGTTACTTACCGTGCTAGTATTTGGCAGTGTACAACAGGATTGTGATGCAGTACTTCAGCGAGAGTTTGTTATAAACAAATAAAAACACTAATGCATGGATATTAACTATACGGGGGGGGGGTGGGGGGGTGGGCGGAGCGGAAATCCACGTAGACAATCAAGGAAGAGATTTCTTATGAATGCTGGACTGGGACTATCAGCTTTCAGCTTTGAACTAATTACTATTGTTTTGAAGGGGGAAAAAAAAACCCAAAAAACCAACTAAGACTGAATGGACCAATACATTCTTGAGGAAAAGAAATAATTGGGAGATATGTGATTCTTTGTATTGAATTAATTTGCATATTGATGAGAAGAGGCTCATGAACTGTTTTCAAAGCAGTTCAGACATACAACTACATACATTAAGATCAAAAATGAGGCTTTCTGGAAGGCATTAATTTTCATATAAAGAACTACTACAATTACAGGGTATCATGACAGTATTTGAAACGTGTACTAATCAAATACTTACCAGAGGGTTGTGCAAATACTGGAGGAATAGATCCAGGTGGTACAGGAACTCCCAGTGGTTGATAATTTGGAAACACTGGTGGAGGTGGAGGCAAAGGGAAGTTTACTCCTATAGAACTCTGTGAAGAAGGAAACAGAGGATTACAAACAGATGCAATGCAATAGAAACAAAGATTTTAAAAGATTCTTTGCATCCTCACCAAACGCTGTAAAGCAAAAAGTGCAGCTTTCTCCTTTGCTTCAGCTTCAGAATGACACTGCGGTCCATGAACCAACAAACCGTTTGATAATTTTATGTGACAAACTGTCATGGTCTAGAAAAATGAGATAAGATTTTTGAGGGAATTTGTATTGCTGACAAGCAAACTGTGAGATAGAAACTTGTGGATTTGTTTGTTTTGAAAAAAGGCAACAAAAGGGGCTAAGGTTTCTTTTCAGATGGATTTCAGCGCTCAGTCCAAATGTTTAATATAGGGCAGTTGAAACAAAGTTGGGAACTTTAACTTTTGCAGAAAAAATTTTTACCTGTGGTGTTTTTAGGAAAGAGAAATCTGGTTGTGACATTCCAACAAGAGAACAAATACGAGAAAGTTCAGAAACAGTAGACAGTGCAGGCTGTGGACAAGCAAAAGGGTGACCTCCAGTTTCCAGTGCTGGTGTGTTCTGAGGGCCTCCAGTGCTATGAGGCTTGTTCATATAAGCAGCTGACAAATGAAAAGGAAAAAAAAAAAAAAAAAAAAGCTTTATCACAAACATTTCCTGCACTAAAGGATAGCAACTTTGTTATTAACAGGGGAAAAAAAAAGCGTATTTGATTTTTTCTGGTATTTTCATATCTGATTAACAAAAAACAAGACTATATATAGAGATTTTTAGATCTGAATGAAGAAGTAGAACTGAAAAAGATGGACATTTTATTACTGTATTTTGAAAATCAGTACTACGCTGTTAGCTATGTTCTAAAATGTCACTACAAGGTGAAGCTCTGAACTATGAGCTGATGTCTAAACATACCCATTTTTTTTGTTTGTCTATATTGCAAGGCAGCTCCATGGCAATCCTGTCTGCTAGGGGGAGTAGGAACATCATTAACTTGGGATTTCACTTCATTCCTTGTTTCCAGGTCAGAGCCATCTATCTTCAAAATCTCTTTGAGCATCTGTGTTCCTTTCTTTAAAAATAAAATAAACCATTCAGGGACATGATGGCATTCACATAACACTACCTTCTTACTTAGCTCTGAATATCATAATCAATAACACAATCTGAATTTTTGTTTTCCTATCAGTTACATTTTATCAAAGCACAGGTAACACCTTAGCATAAACAAGTGTGTTTATTAATTTTCTTTGAGAATAGCTAATTGAAAGCTCATCAATATGCTTAAAAAGGCAGTATGAGGTTTCATGGAGTTTCTTTAAATAGACATATTGATGCTAAGATAGCAGATGCTAAATTGCAATGTAATGATTCCTGCAGTATACAGACCATAGCAAATGACTGTGGTGACAGATGTTCTTCATTTGTAGCTCTTGCTTCCTTGGAATAAGTCTGCACTTCATTTTCTTTGGAAATTTTCAAAGAAGCTAGAAGGCTTTCAAGTTCATTGTCCTTCTTAAAACAAATTAAAAAAAAAAAGGTACATCAACTTAGTATATTATGAGCAGATGCAAGAGGAAGAGTGTATTAGTTTGAGATTAATTTTATGCTCATTCAGGATTTTTTTCTCTTAACTTGGGCAGATCACAGTCATGTCTGCTCAGAGTGTGAACACATATCCAGAGACTAAATCAAGTTTTGCATACTAAAAAGATGCAAGTATTGACCAATAGAGAATTGATTTAAAGAATGATCAAGGTTATACAGGTTTGTCTTGTATCTGTTATAAACATGAATTTGCACACAAGTGACCAGGAATAATTGGAACAAAATGGACTGGAAACTGAAGTTATTCAAAGAGCACAAGAAAACCAACTATCTAGATCCTACCTTTCCACCTGTACAGGGATCATCAACTGCAGCCTTCTGAATTACAGGCATGTTGGGACTTTCATTCCTCTTCAAAAGTTTGACATTGTACTTATTCACACCTGCAAAATTCTGAAATAAACTGCAGCATTTATTATTTAATACTAATACTCCATTACTCATTATAACACAATCATATTAGAAATGCATCTGCAAATAGCTTTCATAAGCTAATATTCTTAGAGGATTTCAGCTTACTGAAAACCTAGCATTTGTGTTTTCCCATTACAGCATAGCTTTTAGAATCTGAGAGGAATAGGAAAATAATTTGTTATCATCACTATACATCTTGTACACTTTCTCTCATTTTCTGCCTATAAAATCTCTAGAGAAAAAAAAATCTCCAAAATAAAATCTACCTAGTAAAAGAATCAACTAAGATTCCAGAAATCTGTAAAATGATGAATCAGATCAGAGTAAGATAAAAGAAAAGAACACATTTACTCAGTAGAGAAGAAATTACCTGTTTGTTTGATATTTTATTATGTGTCTGACTTTCACCTCTTGTAACTTTGGAATCTTCTTTAACTACAAAAGAATGCATTCTTTTGAAATGCTCTTAAAAACCGTAATAATAAGCAAAAATAAAAAAAATTAATAACTCCATACAAGTACACAGAGTTGCATTAATTTGAATGGTTGCATCAAATGTTTAATTCATACTTTGTAGGTCATTTGGTGTATGCTCTTCTTGTAGGATAAAATAAAATGAAGTATATGCAATAATATATCTAATTTTATATCCTACAAATATGATCACAAGCAAATTTTCAAAGCCAAGTTGTGAGGTTTTTTTGTTTTGTTTTTTCATATCAGATGGCTGGAAAGTCAACATAATGCAGAACAGCTTGATTAAAAGGTTCAGGATTAAGTGTGGAATAACCTAATATGCACACCAGGGACATTATTTACAATAACAAGTGCAACATAGTGATTATATAACTATAATAAACTATTTTCTGTCAATAACTACAATAACTACATTTCAATGAAGATCAGATAAAGCAAGCAGTTCTCCTAAACAAAGTTTCTAATTATAGTACTTACATTTTTTATATGGCTCCTGTTTTCTTTGCTGACCTTTAAAGCTGCTGTCATTGAATCCTGGCTTATAGAACTGATGGCCAGTTCCCAGCTTGATTTCCTGAGGTAGAACTGCACCCTAGGATTTCAAACACCAAACCTTAACCAGAAAATTATGTATCTGTCATTTACATAGTAGTCCCATATGATTACCTCTTTCCAGAGCTATGCATACCCTGTGTAACAATACTTTCATCCAGAGGATTTATTTGTAACATTAACTAGAAATTTTTCTGATGTAATGAACTGATGTATAAAATTAAGTACCTTCATATTTTGAACCCAGGGATCTGTTTAAAGTTTATATACTAACCTTCTCATGCATGGTTTGCTGAACGTGGTGAGACTTCCCAGAACTCTGCAATGATTGCCATATGCTGCAGAATTCATCATCTTGCTTACTCTGTGCCTGACAAAATAACAAATAACACCCCCAAACTCAGCAGCTATAAACTCAACTTTTGAACAGCTCATCATATACAAAGACATTCTGAAAATCCTAAGGTCCAGGTTTAACAGCGCTCAGACAACAGAAATTTTCATACTGACACTAGTAGAACTTGCAGGTATTTAATTTACAGAATGGGCTACTGCGGTGGGTTCTATTTATCTAACAACTTTTCCTAAAAATCACTATTAAACTGAAATGAGCATAGTTTGTTTTGAGATTGTTTTTGTTTTGTTACTAACAGAAGTTATTAACATAGGAAAGATCTCTGAGTATAATTAAACTCAGATGATAATTCAAAATGGTTTCAAAAGCATGCTCTCATACTGGTAGTATCCTTAATTTTATTATTAATGCCTTATTTTGTAAGGCCTTACTGATCAGGCTCAATTGCTTCATAACATTACAGGTATGTTACCACAGAACTGAAGCCCAGCTACGTAAAAAACACCACTTGAAAATCTAGAATCTAAACAAGGGTAACACAGGATATTGTACTCATTCAAGAACTGGGAGAAGTTCTGCTCCAGTCTGTATCCGGACTAAAACATCTGATGTACTAAACCAAAGCTATCTGTTAATCATGAGAAAAGGACACGCACTCTAAATAGGAGATGAAAATAACTATTGAGACATTTGGGTCCAATACTAAATGAATCAGAACACTCACTTTATTTTTCTGATTGCCACTCAGAAATGATCCTTTCTGGGGTGAGTTAGAGTTGCCCTGATTTTCAGCCCTGAGATTATAATGCTGTCTTCCATTCAGTTGCTAAATCATTAAGAGAAAAAAAATCAGAAGTGTTTCATTGCCTTACATTTTTTTTTTGAAAGTAGTTTTTCTTGTATAGACTTAGAAAACATGAGACAATTCTTCTCAAACACACCTACAGCAACATGAAGTTACTCATTAAACTAATTTTCTTTAAAGAAGTCACTTATTAAAAAATAAATTTTAACTAAACCAATGAGAAGCCCAATTCACCTGTAATTTTTTCTCCGTTACTGTATTTTGAAGCAGAGTAAATCATAACCAAGAAGCAAAACTGACAAGGAAATCACATCATCTCTTTCTGTGCATGGACAAGCTTGGCCTACAGAAGCATTAACGGTTGGACTTAATGATCTTAAAGGTCTTTTCCAACCTAAACGATTCTATGATTCTATCATTACTTGCAACAGAGCTTTAAGGAAATAATTGCATCTCTGCCTAAACAAATTATTTGTTGACACCAAATGCAGTGTCACTTCTCCAAACTAAATATTTGTCTCTTGGAAATGCAACTGGAGCTACTCAGAGCAAAATAACCATCAATAAGGAACTTTTGGTCCCATTCATTATTGGATTAACTCATTTCTCCACGGTAAGGATTATCGTACTTCTAATATACTGACATAAAAATTAAATTTTGTTTGTACCAAAGAAGATAACAACCATGGTCATAATTCAGCTTCTATGGAAAAACATTTTTGTACAAATTAAAGAGAAGTCTTACTTGAGTAGGAACAAAAAGAGAGCGAGGAGAATGATTGAGGCCTCCCAGATGCACTTTTTGCGAGCATACAGATGACAGATCAGATGCATATGAATTGTAGTTATTCACAGCTGGCTGAGGTTTAACTATGGCCGTCAGTTTTTGACTTCCCATTTCTGACCGACTACCATGAGACAGGTTAATTAAGGCACTTGATGGCAGACGATAACCTCTGGCAGGTGAGCACCTTAAGAAAAACAAATTACATAGCTGTTTCACGTAGTTTAATTGTTGACATTTCAATATATCTAATTTAACAATGCTGTTGCCTCTATGCCAAAAGATAATGATTCAAGTTTGAACCACAGAGGCTGAAAACTGTATCCAATATTGAAATCTAGTACCGTTATACACAATGTTAATCCCATTGTGCTCCCCTTTGGCCTCTGGCTGTCAAAACCAGAAAACAGCAGCAATTACTACTACTCTGGAGTTTATATCGTACCTTCCAGTACTGAGCTCAAAGAAATTTTAAAGATAAGTGAATTGTTACAGCATAGTTCTGTAGAAAATATTTCTGTAAAAAATTATGAACCAGGGAACAATATTATTTTCTTTTTCTGAGATGAAAACTGAAGCGAGTAACAGAATTACAAACTGAAATTAAGCAGCATTTAGCCAGTTTTATACCTTCCTTTATGATTCTGAATACTGAAGATTATCTGTGTTACAGGACATGCTCTTGCAAGGGATAGGATTGCATTATGCTTGTTGAACACAGGGAATAGGTAAGTTTCTCATCTAATTTCTGTCATGAAAAACTCAATTTATCTAAGAACAACAGTAAAATGAAGCCTGCTGGGTAAATCAGTGCACTTAGAAGTTTACCCGCTTACTTAAAAACAGAAAAGTTATCACATTTTTTAAATTAAAAGCATTAACCATGCCTCCACCTCCTAAAGAACAGATTAGGTTTTTAATGGTGGTTAGAATTTAGTGCCCAAGTATCAATCATTGATAGTTCAGAGTCCCTTCTTCAGAAGAACAGATGATTACTGAATATTTTTAATCTATACGTTAAAGACATACTGATAACAACCTGTTTTCTACATATTTATTTCAGAAAGACATTTGGATCTAGTGCTTTATTCTGCTGGTTCATATTTGCTTTCTACAAATCAGAAGCTTCTAAATATGCAAAAAAACCTAAAGAGCATTTCCAAAATCAATATGCTTCATAAAAATTATCCCTACTCAAAGAGAAAGAAGAAACACAAAAGAAGTAAAAATTGACCAACACTGTTGAGAAATAAAGTTTTAAAAAGAGGCATTAAAAATACTCAACCAAACCAAAGGCAACAATTTCATGCCATCAATACCAATAGCATGAAATGACTATCAATCCCCCTGCACAAACCTTATAGTTAGGCCTCCAAGGAATTCTTCATCAAACAAAACTTCGAAGAGCACATCTGTTTCTCTACTGGCTATAGAAAATGAAGTAAAATGTCATCCTATATATGTAACAGTAGCTGTTTTCATCCAAAGTATGTAAATATCTCTATTAGTTATGCAATAAATAATGAAAAGACCAAAACCTAACTAATTAGCATCAAAAAATTCCTTATGCCTTAAACATGTAATTTCATCAACAGCAATTCGGAAATTCTTCTCAAAGTCACATATGGCTGCCCTTTTAGATATACTTTTAACAGAAATGTACCATGCATAACTTATCAACCTGCATTAATAGAACTGCAATTTATAGCAGTATGTCACAGTTGTCAGAAACTGCCAGAAGAGAGATGCAAGCCATCTTTACATTTAGGCAGTCGGAAACCGACAGCTTCAACATTACCTTCTTGCATAATGATAGACTAATACTCCTTTAAAATTATACTAGTATATAATCATTATGGAGAAAAGAATACCTCTTTAAAAAAGCCTAGTCTATTCAAGATTCTGCTGGATGCAAACTGAATGAGAAAGCAACTGCTTTAAATGCCAGGTAAGAAAACAATTTCTGTTACTAGATCTCAGACTGCTATACCCAATGTGATTTGGTAAAATCCTTTTGTTTACCCAAAATAGATTTATGGATAATCTTCTTGTCAAAGAAGGTATAAATCCATGCCATTTAACAGAAATGGAATATCACAGAGTAAAACCAAATTCCAAATAAAACAATTTGAGACAAATCATATTTGATAAAATTTTATGTTCAATATAAGTATTAAGGCTAATACTCTTGTTTTTATCTTTACTTCTCTTAACTTTGCCCGTATCTTCCCATAACGTCATTTTGTTCCTTTTTTGCAGCCTGTGTTCTCTCTCATTGATCTTTCTGCCTTCTTCATTTTAAGAAGGAACAAAAAGTAAGTAATTTCTTACTCAAAGTACAGCTGTGTAATACATGAAATTAAAATAGAATACCTGTATGTTTAATTCAAAACAGTAAATATGTCGCTAGCGGCTTCAATTTGCATATGCTTCACAGGTGAGAAATTTCTGTGCATTCACAACCATTATACAAACACTTTTCTGAAGCCTGCTTTCACATCACTAGCTGAGCTGTTATATAACTGTAATGCTACAATTATGAAGAAAATATTACCTCCTTTAATTCCTATAATGGTACCTCGAAGACCAACTGGAACGGAAAAGTTCTCTCTCACATTGACAACGCGGTCAAACAGCCTATACTCTGCATCTCGATCTGGAACAACCCCATTCTGTTGTTCTAACGGCTGACAATAACCAAAAGACTGTGTTAATGTTTGCAAAAAAAATAGGGATTACAATCAAAATGCATTTATAACAATATCTGAAACACACTATAAAACAAGCTTTCTGAAAAAAAAAAAATTCTTTAAGAACATAGAATCTTCCCTCCCCAGACACAAAGCAAATTTTAGTTTTTTTTTTTCTTGCAACTCTCACTCATTGCTTCTGCCTGAGGAACAGCAGTCTGTACATGATCCAGGACAGATGAAGGGGATCAATTTAGACAAAGTAAAACCATCAAGCGTAACCTGCCTGTATCAGTAACATGGGTATCTGAAATACCAGGCAAGATGAGCAGTTGGTCTATGTCAAGAAGTGAACAAAAAGCAAAAGAGGGAAGAAGAGACAAATGGAAAGTACATTTTATTATGCCTTCATTATACAGCCAATAAGAACTGTAGAAGCATGAAGGACAGAAGGTAGAAGAGAACTGTGAGTCAGTATAATACATGACGGAGTTTGTAGTTAGTAGAAATTCTCTTCTTTTAGAGACAGACTACTGTTCTTAAATTGATTTTCTAGAAGGCATCATAAAACTTCTTCTTCCGTCAATAACGTCCTAAAATTCCACTCTCTGAAAGCTGGTAAACTTAGGTAAAATAAATATGATCTGGACAACTTAACTTCTAAAAAAACCTTTTCACATCACTTACTCTGTACAGCAAATGGGGTTTCACAGTTACTCGCACCTTCTTGTTGCTCTTTCTCTGCTAAATGAAAGGAACAGAAAGTCATTACAAACTAGTGTAGGAATCAACACTGGATTTCAGGTACAACAAAACACCTGAAAAGATAATGTAGAATTCTTCTGTTTCCTTTAGGTAAAGGTATACAGCTTTCATGAAGTCTGTAGGATGACTAAGTCCAGTTTTTAAAACATGACTGATTTCTTACCAAAGCCTTTGCATTGTTCGGCTAATTCCAGAATTCACACCAATTTTATTATCATGTCCTTGCAAGAAATCAGCCCGTTATTTCACGTGGCTTTGTCTTTAGCTTTTGCTTTAGTAATTTCCTTGGCCCCTTTTTTGATCTGGCCTTTAGGAAACAACCTTCTAATTTTCCTCAGACCAAAGAGAAACCGCAAGGGAAGAACAGCCGGGATTGCACTTAGAAACAGCAGTTCAGTAGTTCAGAATATATGCTGACACCTATTCCTTTCTGAAATTACCCGAAGGCAGAGTTCAGAGTATGGCCTAATGCTGCCGAATTGCCTCAAAAAGAGTGAATTGATTGAAAAGATTAATAATGAGCTCTTCTGAATTTCTGGGACAATTCACATGACAAATTCAGACCTTTCATTACATTCTGTATTCTTTTTCTTTGGCATGACAAGTAATCTTCAATCGTCTTATTCTAATTCAAGAGCTTAGAAAATAACGAGCAGCTGCTTTTTGGTTCACCCCTGCTCACAATGATGTCAAGCTGCATACCTTGCATTTCTCTATTTCTTCTTCAATTTTCTCAACAATGGCTGCATCCAAAATTTGCAAGTCACAAGATGAGCGAGACAATGCAGACACAGGATGTGCCTTTAACCAGGCAACAATTTCTTGAACTTTCTCAGCTCTAAATGAAAAAGGACATGAATTAAAACTTTTAACTGCATAAACTAAGCATTTTACCACGTTCCCTGATGTAATCAGTCAAGTATTATGATATAGGCACAATGCTTGTATACATTCATAAAGTAACAGAATTTAAGAGTTCTGTGTGAGTTTACAATAGGGGTTAAAAAAAAAAATAATCTGAATCATGCAATACTGTTTCAAAACTATAACCTGAAGTTTTGTCTCAGCAAAAAAAAAACCAAACCAAAACCTAACTAAAAAACCCACCAAGAAATTACTTAAAAGTATTCAGTAAATTACATTTGCATCCAACCAACTAATCATGTCCAGCTGTGATTAAAGGTTCTGTGAGCAGCTGTTTCTCACAACACAGTAAGAAAGAACTTTAGGGCATGCCTCTCTGGTAATATGGAGCACAAATGTGAGATTCTTATAATAGAAGAGTCCCACAATGGTATATTTGCCTGGTAAGAGTCCTGCAGAGTGCAGCATCATGCAGACTTACCGTGAATAGGGCTTGCTAGCTAATAATAAAAGCTTTTTTAATGTTATTATACTGTATGTGGAACCAAGGTTGCTCCTTGTCTCCCATGAAGCTGACTGAATGTATACTAAAAATGTGCGAAGTACTTTATATTCTGTACATGTTATTTTTCAAATTGAAAGTGATCTTAAACAACTAAAATAATTATTGCTTATTTTCCAAAAATGATATTTTGGTGACTTTGTGACTATTCATAAGTATGCTTACTGAAGGTTACTTTAAAAGCAAGAATTATGAAGTTGCCATTGAAATTAGATTTCTCATTTATTGGACTTGAGATAGGAGTCTGACAGAAACTTGGACTCCACAACTGGAATGTACAACATTCTGATAATTTTTTCAGAGTCATCACTGAACAATCATGCTGCTCAAGGAACAGCAAGGTTTCAGTTACATAGCAGCCACTATATGATCACCACCAATTTCACAATGTTGTCAGCCTTTATTCTACTTATTCTAGGGGGGAAAAAAAAAAAAAAAGGAGAAAGATTGCTTACCCATTCTCATCCTCTCCAGGCCAAATGTCATCTTCATAGAAGATATCTTCCTGGCTATTCTTGGCTATGTAATTAAATAGTTCAGGAACCCTAAAAAATGAATAAATGAAAGACAAATTTAGTTTCACATCATAATATACCACAAAAAACCCTCATCAAAACTAAGTTTGACAGGCTCCAAAATTTCTGGAGCCCAGACAGATTTTTTTCTTTTTTTACTTAATTTAGTGTCATGCTGTTCATTTGCTAAGGGTAAGCTGCTGACAAAATTACTCTATCCCAAAACATGCTTCTCCTTGGAAGGAAAGACTATTGGAAGGAGAATATTGGAATAAAAGAAATTCCATCAAGCAATCTCCAAAAGCAAACTCATCAGTTCTTAAAAGATCTGTGTCCACAGGACAAAATCGGAAGACTGATACGAAGGTGGATAATTTGGATGAAGTTCATATCCAATATTTACCTTTCTAAATACTCAGCAAGTAGTTGTTCTACTGCAGAAGAATACATCCATTCATTTCCAACTTTCTTAGTATAGCCAGGTACTTCTTCATTTTTCTTATTGAACTTCAGGTTTAGCCCCACATTTGCTTTGTGATCTCCATGAGGACTGGAAATAAGAAAAAGTTTATTAACTTGCAATAATATATATGTGTGTGTGTACATACATTAAAAACCGCTTGAACATACATCCTCAGCCTTAAACCACAGAAAAATTAAATCCATTATATTGTTTACTTGTTAGCATCACAACAGCTGGAAGTGTTACAGAACATAAGCCCTGCTATGGTAGCTGTCCACATGCATGAACATATCTTATTGCAAAGGAGGGTAGGGCATATTTTACTCTCCTTCCTTAATTGAGATCTAATCAACCACAATCTACCTGGCATTTACCAAGATGTAGAAGGATGTCCCTGAACAATCAGTGGGGAACAAACGTATGCATTAAATCACAAGAAGATGCTCATGCACCAACCACTTCTTTAGTGAGCTGTCCTATGAAACCACAATTCTGACAGTGAGAACTATAGGGATTGCCTTTCTTATATATTTTAAGCAGTTTTAGTCTTAACTAGTTCTTAAAAAAAAATTACAGGTATAATTATTATCCCTTTATACTAGCAGTAATGATAAGTACAATGAAATTAGACCCCAATTCCACTTTTTATTCTTGGTGTGACCAAGTCAGTTCAAACTCCTGCTTCAATTATGCAAACAGCTAACCAGGAAAGTCAATTTATGTCCTTCTACAATACTAAAGCCAACAGAACAACTCTCCAGTAAACAAAAATTAAGAAGAAGTTTGTGATAGGAGAGAAAAACCCTGCGTATGAATTTAGTTTACAGCAAATATACTTTAAAGAAAGCTTCACATCACAAAACAGTTATACACCTGATAAGAACAGCACTTAAACATAGCAGAAATTCTGTAGAGTTGTATTAGAATTTAGAAGCTTCTCTACAGTCAAAATTCACAATGAGAACTTACTTTTTCTTTGATCCTCTTCCAATAAAGATACTCCCTGTAAATCTGGAGACGAGATATCCACTTACTCCAAGACGGCTGGCTAAAATATATGCAGGATTGTATTTCACAGAGTATTTCTTTAAAACAAACAAACAAAAAATATTGGTGATTCCCAAAGGATAAGGGTTTTTATACAAAAGGCAAATGAATAATACGGAAGCATCCCTTAAAGACATTTACCATTACAAAATGTATCTGACACATTGTTTAAGCTTTTACTAGAAAACCAGAAGCACTTACATGCTGGTTCTGTATCAAAGGATCAAGCTGGGGTTCACAGGGAATATTGAAAACTACACGAATTCTACCTTCTGTGATCACATCACGTGAATCTTGAACCTTGGAGAGAAACACAACACATTAAAAATGTTATTTAAAAACAGCAGTCTTTGAATACTAGACCTTGTGGTCTACTTCATCAACAATTTTGCTGTAGTAGGCACAGAGATGCTTTGCAATTCATCATCTTGCCATGACCTGTACACTGCTTCCTCATAGAGGCAATCAAACAGCACTAAATCAAAGGAATCCATGACTGAAAATGGTCCAAAATGAAAACTCTGTGTATTGCAAATTATCCCAAATAATTAATAAAAATAATCCTGCATTCAAGCTGTGCTACCTTTTTCCTGTTATGCCAGCAACAGAGATAGGGGAAGCAGAAGAATCCCCTCCTCCTCTGACTAAACCATCAGGGAATCTTTGATTTAAAATTTTAGCTAGCAAATGACCACTACTGCCACACAACATCTTAGATTATTAGGCTTGCAAATAAAGAAATCTAGGGGGAAAAACCCCCTAAATTATTGGAACTAACTTCTCCTATGCAGCCATAGTAAGGAGATCCCAGCATAAAGGCTGTACTTCCAGGAGGAAACAAGTCATCCAAAGTTTTGATGTTTGAAAAACGAGAGTCAAAGGCTTTGATATCCTACATGAAAAAAACAAAATTGATAATGTTAAATATAATTCTGTTCCAGTAGAATAATTAAAACGTTCATATAAATAAATGCTTATTCTAAAACATTATCTGAATCTGAAATAATTCACTGAAGGCAAAGAAGTTAATGCTATATTAGAAATGCTGTTATACAAGCAACTATGCTACCTCGTAAAGCACCACTACTGTACTTCATTCAAAATATCATCAGTAAAAAGATGACACAAGCCATTTTTTCAGTAAGATCTCTGAATTGCACAATAGGGTCCCAAATTTTGTGACAAAATACTTGCCCAAGCAAGTTACATTTTTTTATACAATAAATTATATTAATTTAAGATGCTTATTTTTGTTCCTTCTTTTGTTTTAAAGGAGCATACACTCTTCCCTGCCGCTCCCTACTCCAATGGAGCAGCAGCTATGTGCAAGAAGATACTGAACTTGTATATTTACCTTGACAACAGTTTGGTAAACAAAAGGAAGAACTTGTTTTGACCACTGCTTCTCCAGATAAACTTCTCCATTTTGGTTTAGTTGATATCTATTACCAGTGAGCAACTGAGCATACACAACTATTGATGTTTCATGAATAATTATTCCTTTTCTTCTCTGGTAGCTGAATACAAAACAGAACATTTAGATTGATTACAATAAACAGAACTGAACCAAGAGGGTGGAATTAGTTTCTTGAAATAAAAAAAAAAAAAAAAACCAAACCTCTTGACAAAAGGATTCTAATATTTTGCTTCCTGTTTTATAAAAAAATACCCAGAATAAATGGCTTAACCAATTGCTTACCCATTGTTGCACAGCCATCACTACATAGCTAAGTGTGTTAATTCAAACACATTTTACCTTTATAGTGGGAAGGGTTAAGGGTAATTAAGGCAGTTTACTCAAAAGACAGATAATAAAATGGCAAGCCACGGTAACTCAGTTGTGTTCCACTGGGCACCCACACTCTAAAAGAGCAAGAGCTGTATTCAAATTTAACAATGCTAATCTATTGAAGTTGTAACTTGATACTGTACGACTCCATTCTATATACTTCCTACAACTGAAGATTACTAAGACCAGAACAGAAAATTGAGTGGGAGAGTAAATACTGAAACTCATTCATTTGAGAATTCTTTTGTAACTGCATCTAACTTTGAATATCTAGGGACTAACTCCATATATTCTGAAATTTCAACATAAGCTTTTATGTTGTTTTTTAAAATTCAAGCAGACTCATTAACCTTTATCATCAAGTATGCAGCAGCTCTTCTCTGCTACTTAGCTCTGTAACACAGCAACAAAACATATCTAAGCTATAAAATGCAAAGTTACACTTTAATCTTCAAAGTTACTTACTGCTCTGAAATGCCTTGAACTTCTTTTAACCACATGCTTTGTTCCTTATCTCCAACAAATGCCACTTTAGCTGGGGGCACTGCATTTCCCATGTAAAGCTTCTGTGTGCCATGTGGTTCTTCCAAATAAAACCTTGAGAATATTATGACAGGTATGATTTTAACCAAGTAAGATTAATCTAGACATAACCAATTGTGAGCAAAACTTAAAATAGTTAGAAATTACTTGTTAAGGACATGGAAAACCTGCAGCATCGTTTTCTCTACCCCTTCCACAAGGAGGTCACACAGCATATTTTTTATAAAAAATACCACTGCATGTGCTGAAAGGAAGATTGTATAGAAATGTTCTCTTTTACGTTATTCTGTGTGGATTTCCGATCATGCATTTCTCCCTCAAAGTTAAGAATGAGCTCTCCCAAACTTCTGCATCTATAGCAAAATACTGAAGGACTAGACTTTCTACAGAGATTACCAAACCTCAGAACAGTGTTAAACAAAGGTTCTTCCACCAATCCGCCTTTGATACACCTAGACCAATTTGCTGTTAGCAAGTATTACAATAAAACCAAAACTTTTGTACAGCCTAAGGAACTTATTTTGAATAAAACAATGAAGACAACAAACAATTATCTATGAAATGTCTCTTACTTAGTTTCTCCATCTGACACAGCAACAACTCGGGCTTCTTCAAGGTGTGGCCAGTTAATAAAAACACGCTTTCCGAGTACCGAACTGGCAACATTTTCTACCATCTGGAAAAAAAACCCCAGAAGTTACTAATTGTTTAATTATATTAAAAGACTTTTGTTAAAATATTTTCAAACTGTTTTTGCAATAAAAACTACTCTAGTTAAAGAACAGGTTTTCTTGCAGAATAAAAAGCTCATTTTAGCTGATTAAATTATATTTTGATACATATCACATAATCTCTATTAGAAATGGAGAATCATATTTCATTTTTAGGACAAAGTATTGTATTCCAAGTGTGGTTCTTTACATACAGCGTATGTTAGTTGTAAGACCTGGGTTGATTTACATTTCTGGTATAGGCTTACTGTGTACTTTTTTTGTTAAATCGCTCAGAGCTATTTGTGTCTGTGGGACACAATCATCAAATTGACAATTTGAGATTAGTAAAATATTTTGTATCTCACTGAAATAAAGAAACAGCACTTATGTCCAGAATTTTGCTAGCATCTGTAATTTTAGTCTCACATTATGTTCTATTTCTCCAATGAGTTTCTGCTATTTTTTAATCTATTATTGTAGCTTATTAAATTCTCTTTGCCACGTATCTTGAATATTCACTCTCCCTATCTCTCTACTGTAAAATAGTATCTTGTTTTCCTCCTCTCTCCCTTCCTCGTTTTATTTATTTATTTATCTCAAACTTTTTTCTTTTCCTGGATTTGTCTTTTGCTACCTGATATTTTTGATTACGAATTAGAGCTGGGTTTTAAAGGATTTTAAAAAAATATTTTGCTTCTTAATTTTTTTTTTTCCCTTAATTCCTCTGTCAAACAGTCTCATTTAAGTGGAAGGTGTAAGTCTGCTTTGTTAATGAAAAGGGACCGATCAAAAAAGAAAAAGTGTCTATATACTCAGCTACACAAAAGACAAGGGGCACTGGTCTGGAAACTCTGCTTCCTTACATTTATACCATTTCCAACTATTAATTAGTCAGGAGTGAGTCTCACCAACTCCTTACCTGAAAACATCTGATGGCTACCACAGAGAAATGCCAGAAACTCTACCAAGGAGATTGACATTTAACATTCTCAAGTCAGGACAAATTTAAATCTT